AATATTCGATGAACAGTCGGGCAATTTTGGTTTGCAATAAAAAAAAATGGGTCAAATTCTGTCAATTTTGTCTAAAATTAATTCAATTTTTTGGCAAATTTTGTTTTTTTCGAGGGGGGGAGGTCGCCAAAATAATTTTTCCGGAAAAAATTTTTTGGTACTAGTCGGGCAGAATCCCGAAAAGTCGGGCAATTTTCTTTCCGCCCCCCTAATTTTTTCCTTCCGGTACGCCCATGGCCAAGTTAATTGTGCAAGTAGCCATGCATGCATACACACAGACATTAATTATCAGACAAAGCAAATTCCGTGAAATAAACATTCTGTTACCGATCGGATTGACAACAACCTTGTTACAACTTGATTGCCAGCATGACTGCATAATTCCACCTAAAACGTCCGAATTTAGTAATAACGTCGCGACGCATGTAGAACCTAATGTAACCCTAATCTAATCTTGATCTGACCCTAATCTAATCCTGATCTAAATCTGACGGCCATTTGAAAAACTACTCCACCCCTGCATGTCTAATGCTTGTGGTAGGCTATGTCTTAATTTTGGAGATTTTCAAATTTAAGCCATATCCTTAATTTTCGAGACATAACCTTAATTTTGAGGAGGGATCATGTTGTCTTGTTGACCATGATAGATGTCATCAGGGGAACAGAAATATAGGCTAAAAGCTATTGAAATTCAAATCAATTCTAACAAGATAATGAACGGCCGCTTATAAGGAACGTTATGCCTTGCTGAGACATTCCCACGAAATGCCGTTATTAGTGAAATATCGGTCTGGGACAAAAACATTTTATGTATAATTTTTTTGTCTGTAGTGTAGAAGATTTTAAACAAACAAATTCACATAGAATCCACTCATGCATGCTACCATAAACTCTCACAAATTTAGTGTTATTTTTTCCCTGAACTATAGGTTTGGCCATTACGACTGCATAATTGGCGATACATACCAGACTGAGTGCTTATATATAGTATCTATCCGTAATGCAACAGCTCGTTATCTAGGAATCTCTTCAATCTGGTGTATACATGATGAATTAATTAACTTCTTTTTCTCTTGTAACTACACAATTGTTCAGTGTGCGAAGAAAACGTGTTCCTGGGATTTCTAAAATCCAGTAGGACGTATTTTCATCTCAGTTTTCTTCATGGATCTTTCGTCCTTTTTCCAGTGCCACCATCTTGTTCCTTTCGCAGATTTCTCCCCTGCCTTGAGGTAGCGACCATTGAGGTTGGAGTGTTGACAGGATTTATACCACCAAGCACCTTGGTTGTATGCAGCACAGTTGGTGCTATCTTGATCATTATCTCTGTCGTAGGTAGAGAACTTCATCCTGTTCTGATATGCCAACGAATCACCAGCATTACCTTAGATATAAAACTTCCTTAAAACATTTGAAAGTTTTGGATTTTAGTGTATGTGATGTCTCTCAGCTTCTGCTTAAAATTCAAAATGTCTATATTCAATCATATCAACAAATTTAAATGTTTGCCATTTTTATGTATTGAGGTTTAATTTTCAATCGCTATAACTTTTTTGAACATGTATATTTTAATGTTTTAAATCAGTGTCCATGATTTGGGTTTACAACCTTAATAATTTCACAGATTATTTAAACACCGCAATACTTGCGTACTACATATAGTGTTGCATCTTGAATCAGGGAATTTGATCAAGTCCACCCCACGCTATAGCTAGGGCTTCGGTGGCGCAGTCGTTATAGAGGAATCACCTTTCACCTTTGGGATCGTAGGTTCGAGTCTCGATATGGACTCGTGCATAAACTCATGTGAAAAGAGTCAGTCAACGCTCTGCCGAAAGTCGTGGATTTTCTCCGGGCGCTCTGGTTTCAATTCCTCCCACAGGGAAAGTTGGGTTAGGTCAGGTCACGATAAACATAGTTAGGAAAGTAATATCACAATTGTTGTAAAAATAAATAGTCTAAGGAGGGTCCTGAAAGGGGGTCGTATTCCCATTTCCCAGCCCAAATTTTGACTAAATCTCACTGTCACAGAGCACAAATCCCATCATCTCAGTGGCTGTCCTGCTCAAATCTTAATCCCATTCCCATTTTCTATTGTTTTTTGCTGATGAATCCCAGTCCCAGTGCATGAAATCCTATTTTCCCACCCAAAAATAAGCAAATCCCAGTTCCCATTTTACCCCTTCAAGATCTTCTCTAAGCTTTAATAGTAGGTAATATAAGTAAGCGTAATACTTGATGTAATCGGTCACTGAAAAACCCCGATGGGGAGTGAGCTGAATAATCACAATCACAATCATGCTTTATGTAATGGTTCGCTACCCTATACACCCTTTTCATAAATGGCTGCGGATTAAAAATTCTTTTATGTGCATATAAATTGCCCAACTAGCCTCGTTTCTGGGTAGAAATTCCTTTGAAATCTTAACATGAGTACGAGGCTATTTGGGCCAATTTATATGCACATAAAAGAATTTTTAATCGGCAGCCAATTATGAAAAGGGTGTATAGCTTGTGGTCTGAAATTAGTAATCAAATCTACCTTTTAAGCTAATTACTTTATTCATTTAAAAAGAATATCTGGGCAGCTAGGCTGTACCAATGTCACAGTTCTAGTCAATATTAAGTACGACCATATGAGATGTCTCATCATGCCTGCTGATTGTACAGTACATACAACTAACATAACTTGCAACTGCATGCAGCGGCGGCGGAACAGATTTCATTCTGGGGGGGCTAAATTTTTTTCCGTGACCTCCCCCCCCAACCAAATTTCGGTCAGTGTACCATTTTAGGGGTACAACAATTTTTCCGGACATATACAAGAAAAGGGATGAAAAAAATTTTTCCGGACACATAACAAAAAATTTTTCAGGAAATACACAATTTTTAAACAAAATACGGCAAATTTTTTCCCTTATACATAAATTTTCAAAAAACAACCTAAATTTTTCCTTAATTATCAAAGTTTTCCAGAAAAAACTAAATTTTCTGGGGGGGGGCTTTACTTCTGGGAGGGGGGCTTTAACCCCCCTAGCCTCCCCCTGTTCCGCCGCCCCTGACTGCATCGAGTCAGAATTTAAAGAATATACTTTAATTAATCACGCTTTGTAAGTTAATTAATTTAAAATGATATAGCACTTCATAAATACCAATAATGAGAAGAGCCGGTCAAAATTACTATAAGTACACAAAATTTTGGGACTCCATTTTAAAAACTGTGGCACAAGCGCTAGCGTTGTTTCTAAAAACAGAAATTTAATAGGCATGCAAATCCCCATATGTTTTCTGATAAAGTTCTGTACGTAGTTCTTATTGTTCACAGAAGTCGAGTCCGAGTCGAGTCATTTGGAGCTGTTGAGTCGAGTCATTTTTCGTATTGGACTCGAGTCGAGTCGCTGAAAATAGCGACTCGAGTCCGAGTCAATGACTCGACTCGTTACAACACTGGTAGTCACTGAGAAATTGTTAGCATGGCGCACGTTTTATTCTGCCGACATTTTCCGTGCGACTATACGTTTTAGATAACATGGCTTTGTGTTCAAAATTGTGTCGCTAGGTGCAGACTGCAGCGAATCGTTGCCTCTGAATATGACGTTGAGGCATATAAGGCCCACCCTATCCCTGGCTTTGTCACTAATTATACAGTATTTTATAAAAATTTTTATTTATTAAATCAGATTTACCTGAAAAACTACCTAGGTTCAGTCTATATCTGTCAGACTCTGCAGACGCCACAGAAAATGATCCATACTTTGCGTACGCTGTTTCGTTACTCCAATCCATCAAGTCCACTCTTAGAACATTTTGTCCTAATTTTGTCAAACGATGTATTCGATCTAATCCAAGCCAAAAATTCCCGTTAAGATCACCAAAACCATTTTTGTAATCTTGCCATCCACGATAGAAATCTACACTTGCGTCTTGTCGTCTTTGGAACACTGTCCACCCTCCACCATCTGTCTGCATATCACATCTGACTTGGAAAGATCCAACTTGGCCATCAGGGTTGATAGTGTAAACACCATCTTTTCTCACTCCAGATTTATAGAGATCAGCACAACTTTTCCCTAAGATTATGTTGTAAAAAGTAGATAGAAGCTGAAAATTTTTTATCCGGGTGACCTGTATAGCCTTAGAACAACTACACATTTATAACTGCATGCACAAGTTGACTAAGATATTTGAGATGGGATGTTATTTATGTATCAAGATTTTGTTGGCATCTCGCGCAATTGAATAATAATAGTTGAAGGGTCTTGTAGATGGAAATTATCGAGTGAAAATTTATATACACTTATTAGACCTAACCAGGAACAGAAGGGAAAAATGCGTCTTTAATTAGGTCCCTGGCAGAAATCGAACCTTCGGCCCTGCGATTCCGGTGCAGCGTTCTAACCAACTGCGCTACTGAGGCCAGTTGTCGAGCATTAATCAAAATCCCAAAATATTCTACAAAAGACTGTTGGAATTCGTATAGAACTAAACCGCCAAATGAAGTAGCCAGGTACGTAGCGACCGGTGTGTGTGTGTGTGTGGCGGGGTGTGTGTAAATTCCCCCGACTGTGAAACTCAGGTAAAGATCAGGTAGAATTCAAGTTAAAATGTTAACATTTTCAACTAAAATTTGCGTAATAAAGTCCCAATTTTTGTGAAATGATAACCATTTTTGTAAAATACAGTCAATTTACATGCAACTCGTTTGCGAATTTGCTTTAGGGAACGCCTGAAATGCAGTCCGCCTAGAGCTTCAAAAATGTAAAAAGTTTCGGGGGGGGTTACCCCCAGACCCCCGGCCTTTTCTTCCGAAACTTAGTACGACAGTGCAAATCAATCACAAAAAGCTTTATTATAATTATTACATTTCAGGTAATTTTTTAACACTGAAGTTCAAATTTCAGGTAAAATCCTCCGACACCCCTCCCCCCCTCCCGAACTTCAGATGCTTCGCTACGTTCCTGGAAAAGTGGCTTTCGAAGTCAAGCCAATTTGAAAACCATGAAAGGTTGGCAAAACACGCGCGGCTCGCGCGTCACGCTGTAAAGTCCATACGTGGCCGGAGCCAGGCATTAATCTACCTGAGTAAGGCAGGGCAGTATGACCATTTCCAGGAAAGTTCAGAATCCTTGTGCTGTGGATATATTAACAAATAGGAACAGTGTCAGTGTGACCATGAAACCATGTCGTTTTATCTTTTGCACTTTATTGTCTAATTTCGCAATTATTATTAATCTTTCTTTCCATCGTTTTCAAAAATTTTTTTGAAAATTTATTGTCGATGCAAGAAAAACATTAAAATGTGAAGGGAGGTTCAATGAATGCGATGACAGAAAATCTGTCTTGTAGAATTTCTTGAAATTTTCATAATCGAGTATAACTACTCGTAATCGACACTATGCTTAGCAAATTTGCAAAATAAAACGCCCCTAGAATAGAGTTGAAGTTGCTAACGTCATAAAAAATCGACTCGATATGATCATTTTCTGGGTAATAATGTGTGAACAGAATCTATTTTCTTCTTTCGTTAGTTTCGTATGATATTATACATGAGCATTTATGAATCTATGTGGTACATCATACGGTGCAGGTTTTTTTTTTTGCTTTGAATACCTGACCACAGAATACTACGCAGAAGTCTATCTCCATTGTTTTTCGCGTAAGCGTTATTTGTCGTGATTCGTCACTCAGCAAGTACCGTAAACACAAGCAGCCACTCCCCTGGACGTGCGCCATTTTGAGTATTTCCAGGGGGGACTGCTTCTGTTTACGATACTTGCCGAGTGACGAATCATGACGAATAACGCTTACGAAAAAACAATGGAGATGGACTTCTGTGTAGTATTCTGTGCCCTCACCCCACACCCTAACCCCCTGACCATAACCCCCTAACCTGTGGCATCTAACGTAAACCCCTCACCACAACCAGTGGAGACTTATCTTTGACCGAAAGCTGCTCTCCCCCTTTATAAAATATTGGCAGCCACACCCCCTCCCCCCACCCGGTTCCTGCGGCCCTGATATAAATCATGTTTTTAAACTGTACAAACTGTACATAGAGAGCCAACTGAATTAATTAATCTATTTTGCGTAGTGCAATCAAACTCGTATTTCTGAAACTACTAAAACATGAATGTAAAAAATTACATAATTAAAATTTACCATGTTCAAGTAACATTGTAAACGTTGAAATAATTAAGATGGCGAAGGAATAATAAACAAAATTAAGCGCACTACTACCAACCGTCAGCATTGAGAATCTTTTCCACATTTCCCAACTGTGATTTGAGTTCTGACAAACTTTTCTTCAGTTGGTCAAAATCTGTTTTATGTTTTATGGTTACCTGTGCAAAATATTTACATTAGTATACGTTGTGGTGGGTACAGCCAGAAAAACTTACAATATCCAAAATACAAACACGCTTCAAAGTTACAGACCCAAGTACCAATGTAATATATTAAATAACAAAGTAGCCTTTCTATTTCAATTCCATCATGATCATCTGGGTCGAAACAAGAGCGGGTAATATGAAGAGCGTTTCAAGTTTGTACTGAGGATCCAAACCTTTATCAGCAATTAGACTTTATTAAGATATCTAAAAATATCATCAGTAATTAATTGTTTAATATAAGTATATAGTCCAATAAGTATCAGTGACAGTGTATTCGCTGTTAAGAACATCTAGTGTTTGTTTGTTTGCATGTTTTCTCTTTTATTAAGACTATAAGTTGGTTGCTTTCTTGATGTACGAACTGCCGAAATTCATGCCTGCAGTTTTAGCTGAGCATGATCTACTTTCGGTTGTTCGTACATGGAGAAAGTGTCAAATACTGTCATGTTTATAATGTCACTTTAGACACTTGTGAGTTGTGTGTCAACGCGTATTTCGACTTGTTATACTGTACTGTAAATATAATTTAGACATAGTTAGAAAATTGCCTAATTAGTAAATTGGGGCTTTCTCGGGGTATGAACAACTGAATTGTAGTACTGGTTAATACTTTACAATGTACCCATGATTTCATTTGTTCATACTCCTATAGGAAGTACTGAATATAGTCATGTTTAATGTTATTGTTGTTGTGTATATAGAGTTTAGGAGGACCAGATTGGAAAAATGTTGTAACTTTATCTGTTTATCCTCAATAAATAAAGTGTTAAAAAAAAAAAAAAAGAAAAAAAAAAGACTATAATTCATCTTTTTCACAGCTTTTCTCAACACCTAGATTAGTGATAGCCAACGGGAAATTTCTTGGTTCTCGTGATTTACATCAGTACACGATAAAAATCATGAAAGTTACTTTTTTTTTCCCAGTTCATGTCCTTACTTGAATGCAGGTTCATTTCCTGTTTCAAACACAATCTGTATACTTAGTAGTTTACTGTAAACTTGAATCGATATTTGGATGCGTACGCCGAAAACTTATTCTTCAAAGTTGCACTTTTCATGTTAGTATTTGTTTAATTTAGTGTGTCAGCATGTTAATTGTGTGTTTGTACTATCTTTAATTCCATGAATAACAGTTCTAGAATTCTTGTCCTGTTAATCATGTCTTCAAATTTATTTATCTTCATTTATGTTGAACTCTTGAATCTTATTGATTTATATATAAGTTTATGTTCGTTTACATAAAAGAGGTTGTAAAGTAAATAAATAAATAAGTAAGATAAGATAAGATAAGATAAGATAAGATAAGATAAGATAAGATAAGATAAGATAAGATAATTTATTCATTCTAGTTGATATTTCTGGTTGATCAGAACGGAGAAATTGGATGCTGATAATGTTAATTTATATCAAGAACAATATAACGTTACCTTCTTTTCTTCAACAATCACATTCCATGTTCCATTTGATCTTACATAAAGTTTCTTGGTGTCTTTACGGTATTCCAATAACCCTGGCACAGGCGGTACCTTCTGGGCAGCGGCACCATCTGGGACAACGACAATCTTTAGAGGATCAGTGAATATAAAATTAAACATAAGGTTATTTAGTTTGTTATTGGAGACATGACACACTTTATAGTACAAATATAGGAGAAGCATTAGTCATGTAATTTTCTGTTTAGTACTGTATATAATTGTCTTACACCGTCGTTCAGAAGAGCTTCATTCTGATCACACCGACCCTATAAAAAGACACAGAGGAGCATAGTTATTTTTGTGTTGTTTTGCAAGGAACCGTGTTTATATTTTCTAGAAAAACCTACAAAAACTTGGTAGACAATGAAATTATGAATTTTGGTTTGTTTTCGTCTAATTTAATACTCAATATCGCATATTTATATTAATCTGCATGATTGTTATCATCATCAAATGTCAAATATAATGGCTGACCTTCACTGGAATAGAATTTCCATTATATAACTTGTACCAAACCACTTTCCCTTGAGCAACAGTCACTTTATACTCCATACATTTGTTCCAGACTCTTTTGGGTAGTGATGATCTCACCCAAAACCATGTATAGACATTCTTCACAAAAGTTCCACCATTTTTAGCTCTGCATTCAGTACCACAGTAGTTTTTCTTGCCACCAACAGGACCAAAACATCCGCAACACTAAAGTGTCAAGGAAAATGATACCAACTTTTTGTGGTGTTTGTGATATGAATCATATCTGGTCTTAGTAACTTGTTCCAGTTAACTGGGAGAACATCCCATTCAATAATCCGGGTTTGAGGATTTGAAATGAAATCTCATTCTCACAGATCATTAGTAGAGTAACTCAATTACTGTAATTTTGACCAGGTCCTATAGGACTGAAATAATTTTGATCAATGCCAGGACTCGATCAATATACTTCACCAAGTCTCCAGTATCATCGTCTGAGGAAGATGAAGTAATATGGTTGGCTAATTCACTTATTCACTCATGAATTATTAATGACGTTTTACTTTTAAGGTTACCACGGATTATTACCACAGTATAATAAAACCAAGACTCCAAAAGAAACTCACTTTATGATTTTCACAGCCAACAAATGAGGTTGACTCATGAGTGATTCCTGAAGTGGTATTTCCAGACGCACTGTAGCTGTAAATTAAAATAAAATGATTCAATATGCAATATTAGACCATTGTTTTGCCGTGATGTAGCTTCGTTGAAGACAGTATAATACTGATATTTGTGATATTTACCTAAAAGCTCCTGAAAAGTCAATTTGAACTGGATACTTTTTGTGAAAGGCAAACCCAAATGAACATGGACTGTTCAAACAATTGTTCAACATGTCCTATAATAAATTTAATTTCACGTATAATTCTAACTCAAATTTAGAAAAGTTGTGAAGGAAAAAGTTTTAATATGAAATATTTCGATGCTTGAAAAACTTACCCAACCAAAACCGTCTGACTTGGAATGATGAGAGCTGAATTGTGAACAACGAAATTTTGTCGTGACAATTTCCTCAGTCTGAAGATCTTTAACACAAGAAATATCTCCAATTCCAGGCGATAATCTACCACATCCTCCTGTAATGAGCATCAAAAGATTCTTTAAAGGACGTTTTTAGTCTGAATATAATAAACATGCAGTTATGAAAATAATTTTAAACACTCATCATACATATTATATAAATTTATGTACTACAATAAAATACGACTCTTCAAGTCTTTTAAATAGTACTAAAGCCGGTTTTTGGAATTTTGCGTGCGGAGCGCTATTTTTCTTTGTCTTTTGACTCTTTTCTAATTAGTTCCACCCGAGAAATCACAAGACAAAAAAAAAATCCGTTCCGTGCGCAAAATTCCGCCTAAAGGCCAGTTTCCATTGCAGTCGCTTTGCCCGCGCGGGCGGAGCGGGCCGCTTTGAAAATCTGCTCACGCGGGAGTGACGGGCGTCAAAAACAATGAACGCTTCGCCCGCGCGGGCAAAGCGAACGTTAGTGGAAAACGGCCTTAAAGGCAATTTTCCATTACAGTCGCTTTGCCCAAGCAGGCGAAGCGAACATTACTCAACAGTCTCTGCAGTTGTCTTCGCTCTGTAGTGCTTTTTTTTGTCCGCCTGAATGCTCGCGGACACGCCATGAAAGTAGAACCACATTCAACTTTCTTGGCGTTCCGGCTGTGCGACTGATTTTTCACGTCATTAAAACTGGTCGCTTCGCTCGCGCAGGCAAAGTGACTGCAATGGAAAATGGCCTAGCTTAAGCCGGTTTTTTCCGCCTAAAGCCTGTTTTCCACTTGGCGGAATTTTGTGCGCGGAGCGGAATTTTTCTTTGTCTTGTGAATTCTCGGGTGGAACTAATTAGAAAAGACAAAGAGAATTCCGCTCCGCGCGGAAAATTCCGCCTAGTGGAAAAGGCCTTAATGAAAACCGGCTTAAAACGTAACTCACGACTACAATAGAGTTACTTCCATGAGCATTGTTATGTATTGTCTGCAGATTACAGTTGAACAGACACTTCCCGAATTTGCTTGAGTGCACACGAAACAATAGCTTGGAATCGAGGCGGACAATGTAATCCATTGGAAAACTATACTTATTTCCAATGGATTACATTGTCTGCCTCGATTCCAAGCTATTGTTTCGTGTGCACTCAAGCAAATTCGGGAAGTGTCTATTAACTGCCACACGATGTGCAATTAAACCTACAATAGCAAATACCTATACGAGTCAAGTTCAGCATGCTAATTAGTCGTGGTCACCGGTCTTGTGGTTCAATTAGCTTAACACAGATGCAAGATTTGCTGCATGCACATGCGATATTTCGATCGTTAATTCAAGCGAGATGTTCATGGCAAGAGTGTTGTTAATGATCAAGCAAAAAGAAGAATTAAGGTTAGGAATTTTGTCTCATGATTTCCAAAGTAATAGATATATAATGTAAGTAGTTTTACGTTCGCTGTGTTAATAATGTGCATTGAACAGTTCTTTTCAGAACTAACGAACTTTGGTTCTTAAACTGTTAGACATTTAGCAGTTCTCCTCAGCCAATTTCGTATGTATTTGATCGATCTCTTTGTCAGTAATCTTCATGTAGACTTCGTATATATAGCTCATACAGTTCAACTTTGTACAAACATGAGATTTTATATAAAACTACATGTGCCTTTGCAAGTGTAGAGTCTTATGTTAGTTAATATTTTCATTGTGTTAATGAATAGAACGGTATTTCCGTTGGGATGGCTGATATAAAAAATATATGCTCTACTTAATTCATTAATATTAAGTAGAGCATATATTTTTATATCAGGTATAAAGTCCCTCATGTTATTGGACAATTTGCCTAATTAATTATAACGATGATTTAATCATGACATCACCATTACCTCCATCCATGATTATGATGACTGTTTATTACGTATCCACATGTACAATGACCATCACGACCATGAATTGACTATAAACCAAACTTACTCCCCTTGGGACTCTAATATTTATTCCATTTTTTTATAAAGCAAAATTGAATTCTAGCTTAAATGTACGGAAAATCTGGCCTTAATACATGTGAGCAACACTAAACGGTTACGATTGGGTGTAAAAACTAAACAGAATACTGCTCAACACAAAACAGCATTAATATTCGCAAAGCAAACCTAAGACTAGTAAAATTTTCTAATAATGTACTCACCAATGAGCTTTTGTTGCATTGAAATCTTCTTGCGTTGCCACTTGAACTCGGAAATCGACGATTGGAGCATCACCAAGCGAGCTGGACCAATGAGGTTTGCCAAATGGTTCAACTGTCTTGTTATTGGATGGTACTGTCCACGTGACCGCGTTTGTTTTACGACCAATCAACACCCACCCTCCTCCGTCAGTGCTCATGTCACAATACGCCTAGAACAAAAAGTGTTGTAGAGCATAGTCGTAAACTTTATCATGATCATAAACTGCAGGAAGCAGGGCTGATATATAGCAGTACCTTTTTTGGAACATTTCCAGATAATTTGATCCAATAAAACCCATCCTTTGCCCCAGAGATTTTGTTGAGAGCATCTGAACAGTCATATGCAGGATTGAAATACTCTCCTGTTGGGTTGGAACCTTGTAAAAATTCGTACGCAAAATCATGATTAGTTTGTGAATAGACGACTGTGTACTATTTAGGGACTGGTCATAAAGTAACTGCTAGGGTCATAGGGTGGGCTGGAGGTAAATCACAAATTTTGCCAATAAGTTTGGTGACCCATCTTAGGATGTAGATAAAAATTTCAAAGCCCATCTAATCTTACCAAATTTATTTAATGACCCACCTACCCAATCTAAATTGGGAAAATACAATTTTATAATAAAAAAAACTTGCAGGTATGAACATTGTAAATATACACCGGCACTGTATTGACATACGTAATTCCACCAAGCTCAAGCTTGACCAACACATTCATCACCAATTACGATACTGAGCTGCTCTCCAGCTGGTTGTATTTGCTGTGATTCGAACAACTTCTTCTTGTTGTATAAAACAAAGTACTGGCTTCAATAGCATCATTTGCATTTGATAATTTGGATAGTTTTGTTTACTTTTATTACTAATATCTTTGTGTAATATATAATTAACATGGTGGCCCAACCGTGGACATACCAAAAATATTGACGGCCGATCGAAACTGCCGAAAAACTTTCCATGGCCCATCCCAAATTACTCCAGCCCACCATAGCAGTTACTTTATGACCGGTCCCTTATTGCACTCTTTCCCCAATGGCTTCGTTTTCATGTTGCTATTTTCTCATGTTTCGTGCACAATTAATAGGGTTAAGGATAGGTTTTTGATTGGGCTCAAGATCAAAGAGAAACATATTCTTGCACGAAGAAACATGAGGATATAACCTTCATGTTCGCCTGTCATACTAAAACAAGCAAACATGGAAACAAGGCTATAATGGTAAAAAAAAATGCAATAAACAGTATTGATAAGTGTGTCAGCTTGCCGTGACATTAATGCAATATGACACCTTACCATCAGTTGCTTTCCAGACATAAACTTTATTTTCTTCAGCACAAACCAAAAGTTTGTCATTGTCCACCCGATTTTTCACCATGATTAACTTGCCATGATTCGTTTTATTACATTTTCCAGGATCATAACCCCGAAGACTGACTTTCTAGAAAAGTATATCCACTACGTATAATTGACTGCAATATAATACGTGTGTATATTTCAGCTATATCATAAGCATCATAGCCAATGCTTTATAAGATGCATAAGTCTTTGAAAAGAGTAATTTGTGACTGTGAGTACCAATATTTTGTCTGGCCTGGGTTCAAGTCAGTATAGAATAACATGAGAAAACTACGGATGGAGAGTGATTCAATTACCTGAAAAATACAAGCAAAATGTCGATGTTTCGAGCGAAGGCCTTTCGTCTAGAAGTTACTGAGTGTGAAATAACTTACCTCCAATTCAGCTGATGCGCTCAACCACATGTAACTGAGTGAAGACCACACGACCAAGGTAACGAACACTGAGATATACATGGTGAATATCCTAGAAAATAATTAAAATTCAATCAACTGGCAGACATGTTTGCAAAACGGCAAGCTTGTGTATGGCAAAGTAAAATTTATATCTTTTTTATATACAATACATAGGCATTGCTCTCAGAGTTTACACTTCAGAACTCGAGAATCATGCGCATTTGCACGCTTGGTAGTAATAGGTGGACAAAGTCAGATTAACTGATTAAGCTGTGTTAAATAGACGTATTATGAAAACCGAGTGAACTGATAAAGTGTAGCCTGTAGGTAAGGTTTGAGATGTTAAATTTGAGAGGCTAGAAACGTTATAATTCTGACATCGCGTATCCTTTAACATAAATTGACTTACCGGCGTTGTATACGAAGTCTCCACTCTGTGCTCTCTGATCTTAATATAAACAGTTGATTCAAGAGTCTTGTATTTCAACCTCATGTTGACCGGATGATGCAGTGACCTGGCTAAATTTGGCAATGAAACAACATCCAGGAGTGAGTGGGGTACGATTATCTGTTTATGTATCTTTGGTGATAAAAGATTTGCTCTGAAGCGCCGATAAATAATTAGTTCGGATGACAAACATTCAGCAATTTTTACAATACCCAAACTATTCTTTGTATTATTATAACTGTAATGAAAGTACCAACACTCAATGGTTGATATTGCCAATGTGCTATACCGGCCAGTACAAAATGACTAATATTGGTAATATTAGTAATAATATCTGG